ACATTTTCACTGAAAAGTAAAGCCCAATTTAACAAGTAGGGTCTCACGCCTAGTGTTCTGTGGGCAGTGCCTCAAAAACTTTCCCAAGTATGTCAAATGACAACTGGCAATTCTCCCTACCCAGGGTCGTTGATTCCACACCTGAAACCTTCTTGCAATGCAAGATGTCTTCACTATACAACATTCTAAAACTATACAATTTAGTTTTTAAACAGCAGATACAGTATCTTTATCCAAAAGTTTTTCCCTAGAGGGAAAGTAAGATATTTGTTTCTTCTCTCCATATTTAAAATGAAACATTAGATATTTTGGTGACATATTTTAGGGAGGCCAAACAATATAGAATATGTCAGCTTTAAAGTTTAGACTCTAAATATTTATTTATGCTGTTTCAAGATTATCTTATGTGATTGTAATGCTTCCCATCTGTCATATATTCTCAAAGTTACAGACAGAGTTGTGGTTCTCCAAATCACTTAATTTCAGGATATGACCAAATAAGAAATGTCAATATTAAAATGTTATTTTCATTATGTTATGTTGCTCTGAAAGGCTAATCTTGTATCCAACTAAAATAAATTGCAGTTAAAAATATTGTCTGAAAATTCTAGTCTTCCTCAATCCTCCAGATTGTAAAAATAATCACAGCTTCCCCCAATTGAATAATGCCGTTCTTTCATTATAAACTTTGAAATGTATTTCTTCAAATCAAGGAAGATTTGCTTCAACCAGTTAGTCAAATCAGCTTGGATGCTGTTTTTTTAATTAATTATAAATTATTTAAACCCTTTAGAGTAAAAGAAAACCTAGCCTCAATGGTTGTATTTATTTTTATTGTCCATTAAATAATTGCACGATAAAAATTCAAAGTTTTGTTTCTGCAAGAAAGCAAGATTAACCTTAACCTGACTAAAATTCTGGATTTTAGAGACCTTAAAATCAAAGGTCTCTAAAATATCTCACTCGTTTTGGAACAATTAATGCTATTTCCTTAGCCATAATCTGCTGTAACTTAATCATCCCCTTGATTAACCATGCCCACTTCCAACTATTACACATAAATTACTATATAATAGGACAAGATGCCTTATTTTGTCTGATCATAGTAGTCACTTCCCTATTAAATTATTTTTAGTTGGAGGAATATTCCTTTCAGGTTTCTTTATTTAAAAAGTTTCTATAGCTGTCCATCTTATAAGCAAACTTCTGGACAATTCTCAATAGCCATAAAATTATAAAAAACAAATTAAAAAGTCAGCACTTCAAGATGACCCAGCAATCATCCACAGACTCCCATGACTCTACCTGGATGAAGAGCCAGGTTTTTATGGCTAATGAAAAGACTAAAAGGGTGGAGGCCTGTTGGATTACTGGGGAGGAGGCAGTTTATTCCTCTAAGATAGGGGCATGGTTCTTAAGTACCATAAATGCCAATATTTCATGGAAGGAACCTGGAATCTGCCTCTTATCCGACCTAATGGGAAAGGCAGTTAGTCTAGCAAATAACCTGGTCCCACACCATTTAAGGCTTTAAAGGTAATAATCTGCACCTTGAATTGCACCTGGAAGGGGTCTGGAAGCCAGTGCAACTTGCACATCAGAGGAGTAAGGCAGGCAAATTTAGGAGCATAGAAAGCTGTGCATGCTTCTACATTCTGGCTCAGTTGTGAATTCTGGGTGGTCTTCAAAGGTAGTGCCATGTAGAGCACATTGAAACAAACAAAACAGAAATTGCTAAGGTATAAGTGATTGTGAGCAAAGGCCTCTTGGTCCAGATAACAGTACAACTAGCATACAAAAGAAGTTTTTGTAAATGTTCCTCTAGGCAGGACTTCCACTGGCTTTTTGAGCAGGAGCCATCAGTCCATTGTGTACCAGCCAAGTCCAGAAGAGTGTAAGTCCATCGACAATCAAAGATGATATATAACCAGACCATTGGGGATCAAAAACCCAAAGTCTTGTCAGAGTTCAGTTTAAGTTAGTTCCCGCCCATCTAACCATTTCAGCATCCAGGCACTTGGTCAGCACTATGATGTCAACTGCCCTGTGATGGAAATGTATAACTAAGTATTATCACTGTACTGATGATGCATCGCTTGCCAGCAAATGATCTCACCCAGCCGTTTCATGTAAATATTAAAGAGGAGATAAAAGAGGCTTGAACCCTGGGGGGGTTCCTGTATTGCAATGGCACTGGGCTTCATCTCTCCTCTCCCCCCCCCCCAAAAAAAAACCCATGAAATGAAACCACCCACAGACAATGATTGAGTTTACTAAATATGTAAGCTAAGGCCAAGTAACCCATATTACAAGTAGTTCTTGACTTACAACAGTTCATTTAATGACCGTTCAAAGTTACAATGGCACTGAAAAAGTGACCTATGACTTATGATTGTAGCAGCATTGCAATGATCAGGTGATTTACATTTGGATGCCTGACAACAGATTGCAATGTCTTGGGGTCATGTGAGCACCTTTTGCAACCTTCTGACAAGCGAAGACAACATAGAAGCCAGATTAACTTAACAACCGTGTTACTAACAACTTCAGTGATTCACTTAACAAATGTGGCAAGAAAAGTTGTAAAATGAGGCAAAACTCACTGTTGTCTCATTTAACAACATAAATTTTGGGCTCAACTGTGGTTTTAAGTTAGAACTACCTGTACAGCTTTCCATGTTGCAATGAAATGATTCCAGCTACACAGTAGCAGGTGCCAATTACTATACTGAAATTTCCTTCCTCTTGAAATTATTGGTTATGATTGAAAAATAGGGTATATGTGAAAGGCTAAAACAAAGAAATCTAACCCCACTGCAATTCAATTCCAACTTAGTAGATTTACCACCAAGGACTAGATTCTAATTTGAAGCAACTGGATCCAGTCCACAAAAGTGAATACCACTAATCCTTCCATTCCCTACCATCCAGTCAGAGCTGAAGAAGCTTCTTGGATGAGAAGCAAAACATCTTCAAAGAAAAACCAGAAAGTCCAGTTGCCTCTTGAAAAACAGCACCTTTGGGACAACTATGACCTGGATGGCTGAAAATCTCCATAGACAAAACATTTGCAGCCAATCACTCTCGTATGAGCTTACCTAGGAGGAAGTCCCAGAGAATTCAACCCTGTTTGTCAGAAAACCTTTTCTTGCAGTAACACACTTCAGAATGTGGGGTGCTGCTGTCTATCCCCTTTTGTAGCTTCCAGATGGGTGGGGACCACAACAGCCAGCATCCCCGGCCGCGGGAGCCTTTTCGGGAAGTTGCAGCCCCCACCTATTTGGAGACCACCTTATTGGGGAAGGCAGGAAAAGGAGGCGGCGCGACCTCAGGGAGGAAAACGGAGGCATCGTCCATAAAAGCGACGCGGAAGATGATTCACATCCCCCCGCCCCGCCCGGGGGAAGTTTGCCCCCCGACTCACTCGAAGGCGAAGAAGAGGCCGCTCGTAACCACAATGAGGCCGACTGTGAGGAGAAAGACGCTGCTGTGCCGCGCCAGCATGAGGCGCCCGCTACAATAGAACCGGTTGCGCCCGGGGAAAACCTCCCACTTGCGGCGGGGCCGCGAAGCCAGAGTCGCGGGGGCGGTGCTGGTGGCCACGGAGGTCGGGGGTCCAGAAGCGGTGGGGGCAGCCGGGGTGCCCGGCGGGATCTGCCGATACTCGCAGTCTTTCATGGCGGTGATGGCGATGGCGGCGGCTGGCCGCCCCCCGTCCGGACCCCCGCGGGCGGCGCTGCCAGAGCGCCGGGATGGGAGAGACCGGGCCGCTTTGCCTCTCCGGCGGCCGCTCGAGTAAGAGGGAGGGAGGACCAGCAGCTAGCACGCGCGCTCCCCACCCGCCTTCCTAACGCGGGCCTCCCGACGCAGCGCCCCCTCAAGCCGGCCAGGAGCCCGCACTGCAGGGCCGCGACCCTCACCGGGCCGCTCCCGCCAATTCCCCTCAAGAGGGGAGATGCGCGCCACAGAGACCAGGCGCGCGCGCCGGCCAGACGGACTGGCAGGCTTCTTCCCCGCCGCGTTGAGGTACCACGCGGACGCCGCCGAGATACAATCGGAACTCGTTTGCCGGGAGGACCAACGGGGCACTCGGCTTCCGGATTTTCTAGCTCTGGTTTAGAAAAAGCTGTAAATATCGGCTTGGGAAGAATATGCGTAATTCGATGTTTTTTATGAAGATGGGAGATTTTTCTCCCCCCCTTTCAATATTTTGAAATTACTTCCAGAATATAGAAAGACGAGGCACCACTTCTAATACATATTATTTTTTCACGGCTTGTTTCATAGACCACGGTATGCTGTGCAGGTAGTTTTCAGCTTACAACCACTTCTTTAGTGACTATTCGAATGTTACAATGGGACTGAAAAAGTGACTTTTGACTGTTTTTCACACTTGCAACAGTTGCAGCATCCCCAAGGTCACATGATCAAACTTCAGCTGCTTGGCAACTGGATTATGACAGGTGCAATGCCCGGAAGTCATGTGATCATCTTTTGCAACCTTGACAAGTAAAGCTAATGGGGAAAATGGATTCAGTTAACAACTGTGTTACTAATTTAACAACTGCATTGATTCACTTAGCAGTGGTGGCAAAGTTATAAAATGGGACAAAACTCACTTAACTGTCATATTTAGCAACATAAATTTTGGGCTCAATTGTCGTAAGCCAAGGACTCTCTGTATATAACATGCTTGTCTTATTTTGGCTGGTTCTGTATCGTGCATTGTGACAATTGTAGCTTGCTGAATAAATTTCAGGATTTGGCATGAAGAGCAGCCTACAATGTGGTGCTCTGGAATTTTAAGGTATTCTGTGGTTCATATGCTGTATAATTTGTCATTTGGTATTCAGGCTGTTTAAACACTACTCCAACAATTTCTAGCATGAACATATTTGGAGTTGTCACATTATTGTATAAGGCAGTATTGAAAACAAGCTTTGTGTTTGTTAAAATTATCACTTTGCACTTTAGAGAGAGAAAAAGCAGAGGCAACAACAATCTGTCAGGGTTGCTTTAATTTCAATTCTGTAGTGAGCAGGGATTGAATTTAAGTGTAAATGGATTCTATGCCATTTTTGTCTTTGAGAAAAGTTGGAACTTATGTATTTTACATGTTGCTGATATATAAAAGCAACAACTGCAGTGATTATCCATATACAAAGTCAAACTCTGGTTACTTTTCATGTATACTGTAGTACTTATTTACCCCATCTTTCTGTTTAAGAATATTCAACAGTTTTGGTTAAACAATGGGGCAATAAAAGTAATAAAGGAATGTTAATCACTAAACATAATAAACAGTGTTTCACAATTGATTCTCCCATAGAGTTCATAAAACATTTAGCCTAGCAGATCAAATACTTGCTGGAAAGAAGAGATTGTCACTTCTTCACAAAAGAGTGGGAAAAATCATTGAAAGAAGTGAAGTCAACCAGTTTGGACATGGAGTTCCATAGCAAAGGTACATAGCATGCTATTCCCTCGATTCCTACCAAACATACTTCAAATATTGGCAAGATGGATAAGTGAACTTCTGTACTTGATCTTAAGTAAGCAGGCAAGTTCACAAAGGAGACAGTCTCAAGTTCTTTACAAATATAAAATTGGTGTGCACTACCTAGAGATGGTTCTGAAGCTGTCCTCAGGCACCTGCAAAAGTTTCATGTGTTCACTTGACAAGATCTGCAGTAGCATTAGCTACCGTTTCAGGCTGGCTCAGATGTATAAATAGCTTTCAAATGCAAGCTCATATACAGCACACTGAGCTCGATATTGATTTTAACTGCAGTGTGCATTAACATATCTAGATTATGTCTGCTCCATTAAAAAAATGTGGCTTTCCCATCACAGCCTGTTCTGGTCAAAAGCAGAAAAAGCTTGTCAACATCCCCAGAGCGCCCAAGAGTAAAATGATGAAATTTAGAACTGTGACAGAAGGAAGGTAAAAGGTGGGGACATACCAAATTGAAAAAAAGAAATCAGTGTTGCAAGGCTGAGAACCAGACTGAAGTTGATCTGAAAATTTATGCCTGAAAGCTTGTCAGCTAAGGCAAGAAGAGCTTAAAAATCTGTTGACCTAAATTGATTTCTAAGAACCAGTGGAACTACACCCAAAAAGAAAAAAAACTTTAGATAAAGGTTAAAATAATGATATGGGTAGTCTTCAACTTACAACTTTTTTTTTAGCAACTGTTCGGAGTTGCAATGGCATTGAAAAAAGTAAAATTACAACCAGTCCTCGCACTTAGATTTATCGCAGCATTCCCAGGGTCACTGATCAAAATTCAGGCACTTGGCAACTAGCACGTATTTATGACAATTGCCGCATCCTGGGGTCACGATTGTCATCTGTGACCTTCCCAGCTGGCTCTCTACAAACATAGTCAATGTGGGAAGCTGGATTTGCTTAACTGTTAAAATTATTTAACAATCATGGCAAAAAAAAAAAGAGTATAAAATTGGGCACAACTCATTTAACAACTGCCTTACTTAGCAACCAAAATTCTGGTCCCCACTGTGGTTGTAAGCAGAAGATTACCTGTACCAACCTCTTGCCTCCAGAGAGACTAAAGCCAATTTCCGCTACAGTGTCAAGATATGAATTCAGATTTTTGCTATATATCAAATAACAGACATCACCACTGAAAAGGGAGATTGTAAGTGACTTGTGTAAAACCCACATTTTGCAAAAGTACATTTTTTAGAGGGTTAGGGTTTTATTTTAAAGCAGCCCTTGGTAGGTTACAGAATGGGTCTTGGGAGAGAAGAAAATATAGAAAAAAGCAGGGGGTAGGGTTTTTGGTTGTTTTTTTTGAAATTAGATAGATTATTTTGAGAAAGGATATTTTTGACTGCAACGTCGCATGTAAGTATTCTACTACCTGGTGTTATATTTTTGCTACTTTCACTGGTTGAGTTTACTGCCACTTTCAGATAACCAATCCTGCACCTTCAATTATTAGCAGCAAATGTTACCAAGTGTACAGAAGATAGGATCGGTGAAAAATGTTCAGCCTGTTCAGCCAGTAGATTCAAAATGGTTATGTCCAAGGAAAGAAATTACAGTGAAGGATCAACCCCAGCAGCCAGTACAAAAGTACATATCCCAAAATACATTTTGTGAGAATCGTGCTCTGCTTCCATTTGCTCAGAAGCATCAACATGGGGTTTTCATGTCTACTGCAGGTAGAAAAGAAATTATCCACTGAGGGTTTCTCAGCAAGGAATTCTCTATGCTTGGATGGGGAACCTCCATCATGCAGCAAAGGTTCATTGTCATAGAGAAGATGAGCACAGAACCAATAAAGGACTGGAGAAGATGAACCCAGAAACCTGGTAAGAACCTATTAAAGGAAGATAAAGGAAAAGATTTACATCCATATCCATGTACTCAAGACGTTTCAAAATAATTCCATGAAACATATCTTCATTCCAGCTACAAAAGCAAATGGATACAAAGGCAAAATTTGCTAGCAGGTTTTGCTGTAATAATATTTCTGTTCTATTTAACAACTTCTTTGTGTCTATCAATTATTCCAATGGCCCTGTCAATGTCAGCCAGTTTCTAACCCTACCCACAGTACTGTACCTAGAACTGTTTCAATCGGGTGGATTTGAGCTATTCTCCAAGTCAGCTTCCCAATCTCCATTAGTCTACCTTTAGAAGATGAAGATAAGATTTATTGAAATATGCATATAAAATTATTTGAATGGTTTAAAAAAAGTAACACAAACCATTCTTATTAGAGTAGCTGAAAAAAAGTATGGGTTAATGGGATGCTACTATATGCCATTGAGAACATTATCCAGAACTACGTGATGAATATGGCTATGGAGACCACAGGGGTTGCCTCCTTTTTCAGAATCTGAACTTGACATGTCATTTCAAGGCTGTGACTTTTAGCCTAAAAAGATTGCTCACTTTTGATGTGTACCAACACTAATTATTTAAACAACAATAAACATATAACATGGAATAAATACTTGCCTTGTTCAGTTATTCCAAAAATAAATACAGCATGCATGTGAAAGAAAGTAACAATGGTAAGAAGCAGCATACAGAGAAGCATACAGATAATGTGATGCCATTAGCAGAAAGGTAAACTCCCAAATTAAATATGAAGATGGTTCTATCCCAAACATAAGTGTGTAGAGTAATATCCAATGATTAAGAAATAACCTATTGTTAAAACCAAAAACAGACAAGCCAGAAATTACCTATTATTTGCTTTTAAAATTTGGTGTATCATTTAAATCAAATCCCAGGAGAGCTACAATCCAACTTGTTGCTTTCAGATAACACTTTCCAAATTGACTTAGAACTGTACATTGCAATGGATATGTTCTATAGTACACTGCTGCATATGTGAAATGGAAGCTAGGTAGCACAATTACAGATTAATGCATTTAATGAAGTAACCAGTTTCCTCAGATGCACAAAGTCAAATGGTTAAGCTATCATAGACTATTTAAAAGCCTTGACTCTGTTATTTTATGTCAAAACTGATTAATATGGCTACTTCTAGGGACTTGCCCCTCCATCATTCAAACACTGATCAGCATCATGCAAACTTCACTGGTTCTGACTGAGTATAATAGGCAGGAACTCTGGCTGCCTCTTGAAGATCAAAAGTGGTTGATGAATTGTCATGCAGTGAATCTTATTTGTCATTTTCCTCCTTATCCTACATATTCCCATTTAGGTGATACTCTGAATATCCTATATCTAGGATACTACCAGAAATCTTCCTACACTAAATATTTTTGTTTTCACACATATACACAAAATCCTTAATATGTTTATGAAATAATTATCTAATGGAATCTACAGCTGGTCAGGGCTGATATTCTGTTAAAAAAAAGGGGGGGGGAGTTGCCACGAAGCATCCAATTTCAACATCATGGTAGGAATAAATATATCTGCTCAGGATATACCGTTACTCATTACTTGATCAGTATACAATATTTAGCAAGACTCACCTGGACGTGCATGAAAAAGGTCCCAAACACCAACAGAGCTGCTGCATGGACCACGTAGACTAATACACCAGGAGAACAAAAACCCTCTGCTGGCTTGTGTGAGTCATGGTCTTTCATGCCTGCGCTCTTCCTTCTCATCAGACCAAGGGTTAGACAGTGCCAGGGGTTGGCAGTGACATACGACCAGATTGCCCAAGAGCCCAACACAATAACAGGAGAAGCTAGCAGAAAGTTTGGGATCTGTTTGAGTTCAAAGTATCGGAGGAAGCCGACATTCCAGTAGGTATCTTGTATATAGGTGTAGAGCACAGGAAAGTTCCAGGAGCACCATGGGGGCTTCCCACCCTCTGAAGCTGCTACACGATACCCCTTGGATTCAGCCAACTGCAACAGCGGCTTTGGAATAGCATATCCCAGGCCAATATTGGGATGGCAGAACTTAAGGTAGGTGTAATACTGAAACAAAGCAAAAGGTAAAGCCACAGAGGCAGACATCAGCACCAAAACAGCAGCCAGTTTTAGAAACTGCCCTTTCTTCCACGACACGTTTTCACTTGCTTGAAAGCTAAAAGCAAAGGGTTTTGCCTGGGAATAAATGAGGAATCCTGCATTAATTAGCCCATTGGAACGTACTCCGGTGGCTAACGAAAAGAGAAGAAGGCTAACCCAATGATGCCCTTTCTCTAGCCTCCACAAGGCAGCAAGCACTAGGAAGGCAAACATGCTTTCTGAGTAAGCTGCTGCCATAAAGATGTTAGCTGGAGTGAGGCAGAAGAGGATGGCGGACAGAAAAGCCCTCCTTCGGCACCGCAGGACTGCACAGCTGAGCTCATACAGAGTCCAAGAGGCTAGAACAGAAAAAACAGCATTGAGGAGAACTGCAGATAGGAGCAGACAGCTCCGGAAACAGAGAAAGCCTTGGAATGGCCAGAAGATAATGTTTGCAACCACTTTTAGGGTCAGGGGGAAAAGGGGGAAGAAGGCACAGTTGTGCTCATATACGTAGCCATGCTCAGCTATGAACAAGAAGTGCTCTGCATCCCAATGGGAGAGGCCTCCCAGGAACCATTCCAGCAATTGGTCCCAGAACCCAGGGTCAGACAGGCGGGGAGGAGAGAAGGCATCTGCGGCATGATCGGGAATCAGGAGATTGAAAAGGGCCTGGGTGAAGAAGAAGGAGAGAAAAAAAAGCAGAAAATGGCAACTAAGCAAAGAAGGTTCTTTGAAAAGATCTCTCTTGTTCCACATTATTCTTTTCAAGCCATTTAAGAGCAGAGGTGTTCATAGCCATTAAAAAAGCAACAAACGGAGATGTATATTGAACATAGTGGAAAAGTGCTATTTTACACTTTGGTTAGATCTCATTGCATTCAGATCCTATTTGATTGAAATAAGGAAGGCACCCAAACAGTCAAACAAGTAGTCCTCAACTTACAACCATTCGTTTAGTGATAGTTCGAAGCTACAACAGTACTGGAAAAAGTGAACTATGACTGGTCCTCTCACCTACCATCATTACAGCATCCTACAATCATGGGTTCAAAATTCTGGCACAAAGATCAGACTGGAGAAGGGAGGGAAAAAGGGAAAAAAAAGCCACAGTCTGAAACAAGGTATCTTTTTTAGAGATAAAGGATAAAGGACAGTGTATAATTTAAGAAAGATTCTGCAAGAGTACATAAGATAGTATTGTAGTATTTGCATTTGAAATAGTCTATTGGAATATTATAAGATTTAACAAAATATTAAAATATTAAAATGTTTTATAATGATAGATTTCAATATTTAATAAAATATCAAAGAGAATGTGTAAAATGATTAATGCTTAGTTATACTATTAATTAGAATTAGAATGGAAATTATATACTTAACTATATTATAAGTTTATTATTCTTTTTTTTCAAAATGCAATATGTAGAATGTACTAAGCAGAATCAGGATAGAAATTATGTATTATTTTAAGTGTTACTTTAGGGAAAGGCGTCACACCTTAAAAGTGATTACAGGGGAAATTCTTTGCTAAAGAGAAGAGATAAATAGATGATTGGAAAAGAACGGACAAAAGATACAAACATAATGATTTTGAAATAAGATGAAATAAATAAAATATAATTAAGAGAGTGAAAAGAAGGGAGAAGTTATATAGAAAATATAGAATGGTTAATAAGATATGAATGGTATATAAGGTGAGCATGAACTTGATTTACGTCTGTAAAAAAAGATGTAACCCGGGGCTAAGCCACTTTTCAAAAGAAGTTTTATGTTTTATGTTTTGTGTTTTGGTTAACTATGTTTTGATTGTGAATTAATAAAACCTTGGAAGAATAAAACTAAAGGGAGAGAAATTTGGAAAAGACATGTATAAATGATAATTAAGGAGGTTTTATCTTTTTATGTCTTGTTTTATGTTTTGTATTTTGTGTGTTTATGCTTGATTGAGAATTAACAAAACCTTGATAGAAAGAAATATAATTGAATAAAAGTGAAGGGAGAAACAATGAGAAATTTGGAAAAGATATATACGTGTTTAAATGGAAATGTGATAATGTGGAACTATGCCTTAAAAAATAACGCTTTATTTTCCTTGTTAAAACTTATAAGTAATTTTTGAGAAAGGAGGTTTTATACTTTGATGTCTTATGTTTTGTTTGTCTTTAAAACCAATAAAACTTGTTTTATAAAAAAAAAAAAATTCTGGCACTTGGCAATTGGCATGTATTTGTGACAGTTGCAATCTTCCAGGGTCCTGTGAATGTCATCTGGAACAAACTTCCCAGCCAGTTTCTGACAAGTAAAGTCAATGTGGGAAGCCAGATTTGCTTAACAACTAACTGATTCACTTAACAAGCTCAGTAATTCATTTAACAACTGGCAATAAAGATTGTAAATTCAGGGATGAATTATTTAACCACCACCTTGCTTAGCAATGGAAATGCTAGTCCCAATTGTGGTCATAAGTCAAAGACTACCTTTATTTGTATTGTATATGGAGAGACTGTTAAAACAATACCTAATGAATATAAAGCTGCTTAGACATGCTTGCTCATCATTTGGCCATTTTCAACTGACTGTGTTAATCTTCACACTCCAGCATGCCTGCGTGTATTGCAAGTAGTAAATTTCTATTTTTCACAGTGAGAAGTTTATTGTAAAATCAGCTGCTAGGTTTATGCATAATTAATCCCTTGAGTCATAGCCATCAAGTATCAGCCACATTAGATCTCCATATGCCTTATTCTCAGGTAAAGCAGACAAAGGGAAACATTCTTTGCCTTCACTTGCCAAAGTGAACTATGAAATTCACTGCAATATGATGCAATGATGGCTACTGGCTTTGGTAACTTTAAGGATGAATAGTGACTATCAAAAGGAGGAGCATGTAGGCAGATCTTTATAATTAAGCTTTTGTTAGAGTTATATCCCCACCTCCAAATTTCCACAACAACCGTGTGAGGCAGGTTGGGTTGACAGAGACAGAGAGGGGGACAAAGTCACCAGGTCAGCTTCTGCAGCTGAAGCTAGAATTGAATCTGGTCTCCTAATTCAACTCATTAACTACTACACTGTGCAGGCAGTGGTCACTAAGACCATTCAAAATTATGACAAGATTCTTATGACATGATTCTGGAATTCTGACAGCAGAAACCCTTCACATCTGGAGTCACATGAACATCATTTTAGGCACTTGGCAACCAGTTCACTTTTACAGCCAGTTGCAGTTGCAGTTCCACTCACGTGATTACAATTTATGATTTTTTGTTGCCATTTTCCAGCCTTTTCCAGAAAAAAAATATTTATAGGAATGAATAGACTCTATGAATGCCACAAAAAAATATCATAAAATCAGGTCAGTCTCATGAGTCCCTTGAGTTACAGCCATCATGATTTATGGGCTCCATTAGGGTCATAAGTCGAGGACTATTTATACTAGCTTCTAATAGGATTGCTCTTCCTGGATTGGCCCATGTGGAATTTTAGGAAACTCGCTAAGTGAATACTATAGTTATGTCCCTTCTTAATTTACAACATGCGGATTCTTTTCTCAATATGTTAGGCAAAGTATAAAGAACACCCTTATCTGTGGATGGACAGATAATATTACAATAATATTACTACTTATTATGTAATTATGGTTTTATAATTGAGTTTTATGAATTATTTGGGGACTTACCTGAAGCAGAAGTGTAATAATTCTGCAAAATACTGCAAAGCAAACCACCTCTTGGCAACATGTGTCTCTACAATTCCTCAGTGGCATCCTGGCCTTGAAGCTCACTCATCAGATCATTGTAAACATACATGTAGGGAATTTCAGTAAGAAACATTGAAAGCCTAAAACCAGAAAATAAATTCAATGATACGAAGGCTAAAATTCATTGCCACATTTACAAATTGGGTATTTGTGTCTGGTATTTCATTTTGGCTGTTATGTTTATGTGAGGCACAACTTCATTGTTGCAGATCTTGGGCTGGTCCTCCTGGCAATTTGTGTTTGTGTAGCCTGATCTAGAGCTGTGGTTGGCATATTTCTTCAGAGAATTGCATAAAAACTCATTTACAAAATATTAAGGAAAGACCTTTTTGTACCTTAAGTACAAGCAAGCATTTCTCCAAAACTGATGATGAAGTAACCTTTCATTTGAAAGAAAAAAGAAAGAAAATCTTATGCAAAGCTAAGCCAGGCTAATATGCTCCTTATTTCTAGCCACTTTATTGATTTTAAGAATAAACTTTCCCAATTATCAGGAGCTAAGTGGGGAAAATAATCCTATAAAATGGAAAGATTAAATGGTTTGAGATTCCCTGCATTTTAAACTGGCTACCACCAGAGGGAAGCAAATGCTCACTGTGTTCATAGTTCTCCAAACAGTTTATCAGTGTTTCTCAATGTTTGCAACTTGAAGATGTGTGGATTTCAATTCCCAGAATTCCCCACCTAGCTGGGTGAGCCTAAGGAATTCAGGGAGTTGAAGTCTACACACCTTCGAGCTGCCAAGTTTGAGAAACACTGCTGTATACTGTTGTGACAATCAAAATGTAAATACAAAATTGCTGGCTACAAGAGAATGGCTTCTCCATTTATGGCATGCAATCATAAATGATACATCAGATACCTCATACATCAGATACTGGTACAACTACACAGCTGTGTGTTCTTTCCACTTCCCTTCTCCCTATATACCAATGACTGCATCTCAAACGATCCATCTGTTAAACTTCTGAAGTTTGCAGATGATACAACAGTTATTGGTCTCATTCGAGACAACGATGAATCCGCATACAGACAGGAGATTGAACAATTAGCCTTGAGGTGCGACTGGAACAGAACACACTCAAAACAGTAGAAATGGTGGTAGACTTTAGGGAAACCCTCCCATGCTACTACCTCTTACAATATTAGACAACACAGTATCAACAGTAGAGACCTTCAAATATCTAGGTTCTATCATATCTCAAGACCTAAAATGGACACCTAACATTAAAAGCATAAAAAAGCACAACAAAGAATGTTCTTTCTGCGCCAACTCAGAAAGCTCAAACTGCCCAAAAGGAGCTGCTGATACAGTTCTACAGAGGAATTATTAAGTTTGTCATCTGCACCTCTGTAACTGTCTGGTTTCGCTCTGCAACCCAACAAGACAGACACAGACTTCAGAGAGTAATTAAGACTGCAGAAAAAAACAATTGCTACTAACCTGCCTTCCATTGAGGACCTGTATATTGCATGAGTCAAAAAGTGGACTGTGACAACATCTACAGACCCCTCATATCCTGGACATAAACTGTTTCACTTCTACTCTCAAAACAACGCTATCGAGCACTGCGCACCAGAACAACTAGACACGAGGAGTTTTTTCCTGAACATCATCACTCTGCTAAACAAATAATTCCCTCAACACTGTCCAACTATTTACTAAGTCTGCATTACTATCACTATTCTCATCACTCTTATCACCCATCCCCTCCCACTTGTGACTGTGTGACTATGACTTTGTCACTTGTATCCTTACAATTTATATTGACTGTTTCCCAGTATGATTTGATTGCCTATTTGTATCCTATGACTATATTAAGTGTTGTACCTTATGATTCTTGACGAATGTATCTTTTCTTTTTATGTACCGAGAGCATATGCATCAAGACAAATTCCTTGTGTCTCTAATCACATTTGGCCAATAAAGAATTTATTCATTCATTCAATTTCTTACCCTTATGCATTCTGTGACATTCTATTGATTGGATTTTAGGCATCGGATAAACATTGCTGTTTTTCTAGTTTTTGTGGTCTTGTGATTATACTACTGTTTTTAAATTCTATTAGTTAAGATTGTGTTGTTTAATCTTTTATAGTATCCTGTTATCTATGATGAAAATATTGAAAATCAGGATTCAAATATTTAAAATAAGTTCAGAATAATAAAACCACATTGCTAGCTTTCAAGAAGCTCAGAAATCAATCTTAATTAAGCCAATAATTTCTGGTAGATGTGTCTAAGTCAAGAATGAAGCTCAGAAAAACCATATACAATAATGTAACTTTAAGCCTCCATACTCTGGCATTCAGTTTTTAAGATCTGCAATCTTTTTCTTGTATTATTTAAGCAAATACTGTCCTCTTTCTCAAAACTTGGGAGAAACTGCTTTCGTTCCTATTTTAATCTATCAGTGGCAATAAGACTATCTAGCTATATATAATTGCTCTGAAGTATCCAGAGAAGTTTGCCATTATGGTTGCAAAGTTGCACTTGCATGTAAAGCCTCAAAACTCCAGTGTTAACCTGATAAAAAATGTTTTCCAATCTATTAGATAATATATCCAAAACCAAAACTGTCAGAATGAGGAATACATTAAGTTCATAACTATATGAATAAAGATGCTTGAATACACATAGAACAGAGATTGGTGATTTGGGTTGCCCAGGTTAAACTTGAAAAATCTAATTGGACCAAAAAAAGATCCACGCAAGCAAATCTATTTCTTTTGTCATATAGTTTCTTCCTGATTTAACCTACTATATATACACACACACATACATGCCTTTATTATTTAAAGAAGATGATTTATATTATGAGAATAATGACTTATCTAGCTCATTTGAAACCAAGGCAGAAGCTCGCGAACAAACCTAGGCATAGCTTCTTAAAATGGTGCCCAATATTGCACAGCATAAAGTTCATACACCGCATTTCCAAAGTTCTGGATTCATATACAGAAATGTGAAAACACAAGATAATTTTATGTGTGAAAACTAAACCTGAGGATAATATATCTATATATGTATCAAAACAGAAATAAAAAATACCTTCAAAACTGTAAGAGGAATAAATTGTCCCAGTCGCCAAATAGTTAAGTTGCATGAATCTTTTAACATCTATCGTTATTTTACCTCTCATCATACAGAATCTTCATCCAAAAAAAGCTGATTTCAGGTTTCTGTAAACAGAAAATGGTAATGCTAAGAAAATGATAGTAGTAAGCAAAATACTGTACTTAAACGGCTGTGTATGTCATAAAAAGCAAGACTTTGGGCTCATTATAATATGTAAACATTATTTTTCAACCCCGACAACCTTAAAACATTTAAAACTAGCTCGATACCCATGGTTCGCTACGAAAGTATGTGGTCAGGCTTAGTTTTTGGGGAAGAAAATAAGGGGGGGGGGATTGTGCCTCAGCCTACCAGCATCCATTGATATTCATCTGGCTAGCATCCTGTCAGTGTGTGAGAGAATTGAGGACTGTTTGGAAAGTGAAACAGTATTTGCTGTGTGAGCAAGAAGGAGACAGCAAGGAGCCTGGGCGTGGCTTAGTTCAACTGTTCTGTACTAAAGCTGATTGGTGCTGTGAAACTAAAAGTGAAACTGAAACTCCTCTCCTGTGCTTGTGAGTTTGCATAATGTCTATAGAGATTCTCAGTCATCCAGGTCATGGTTGTCCCAAAGTTGCTTTTTAAAGAAGCAACTGGACTTTTGGGTTTTTTTTTGAAGACGTTTCATTTCTCATCCAAGAAGCTCAGCTTCTTGGATGAGAAGCAAAATGTCTTCAAAGAAAAACCAGAAAGTAGTTGCTTCTTTAAAAAGCACCTTTGGGACAACAGTTTGCATATACACATTCCTGCTCGGTTTAAGCATTCCTGGTTTTACAAAATATCAAGCAGATCCTGAGAAAGCATATGATTTAAATGCAGATCTCATCTTTGTTACAACCTTCCTGAAACTCATGCTCTCCACATATGCCAAGTTCTTCTCCCAGCATTTGACCAAGAAGAGCCACTAAAGATGTTAAGTTATAAGTAATTCTTTGAGCAAGAATCCAAGTACACAATCTAGAAGTCGCCATATTGGGAGAGGCTGTATTAAAGGGGTGTTGGTAAACAGAGGTGCAAGCCACTTTTCTGAACCTTCACACTATATGTATCAAGGTTTTGATGTAAAAGGATAGGGTTTTTATACTAAGTCAGCTTGTCTACCTATCTTATCAATCATTTTTTCCAACTAGCAATAAGGACCTAAGAAAGTGGTGTTTTCTATCATCAGGTACGCTCAGAATGCAAATTACATCCTCTTTCATTAAATTCACCCCTCTTTTCCTTATGTATAGAAATTACTTAGCTCCACCTTTTCTCTCAGAAATCCATGTGAATCTACGATGGTCATATTTTCTTGCAAAAAAAAAAAAAAGGACAAACCAAAAAAAGGGAGGGGAGGTCTGAAAGAGGTTCATAAGGATATAAAGCTTAATTGTTTATATTTATGAATTTGTTTCGCAAAGAAAAATTCAGGGTTAAAACTTTACAAAAACACGCTATTAAAAATATCAAACAAGACTATATAAGTTATATTAAAAAGACAATTCAATTTCTGTATTTTTCACATGAATGTGAAAGACTGTGAACTGTGGTATTATTTGTATGGTAAAAGTTAAATAACCCAAATAAAGGACCAAGTGAGTTTTTGAAAAATAGTCTAAAGGGCAGCTTTCTTAAACAAAGGACTGTTCCTTAGACTAAAGGACATACAGCCACTGCATGTATCTCCCATGTATATCTATTAACTCAACAAGCCCTGTGTGCTAACTTAAAACAAGGTAGATTCATTCGTTTTCAAAATACACACAGAACTACTTTCACCATATTTTACCCCCGTGTGTAGTGAACCCTAGCCCTTAGCGTGAATGTCAAAGTGTCACACACAAACTCAGGAAAATAATTCACCAGGTTGAATTATACCTCTGAGCAGGTACCTAAGACTAAGTGGGCCATGAGGCTGTCTGGAGTCCGCCCCTTCCATCAACCCCAAACCCTTGGGAAGAGTAGGAAAACAGGGGCAGCTTCTATTACTACCCCAGACTGGACCAGGTGGTAGAGAGGGCCAAAGGGGCGTGAGGGAGCGGAAGGCCTGGAGAAGGGAGGGGCGGATGGAGTTATAGCTACACAGGTAAGAAGAAGGGAGCCTATAGGATAGTCCGTAGCCAATAGGAGGGGCCCATGCGGGGCGATGCTTCTGCGACCAGACCGTCCGGGGAAATGTTAAAGAGTCGGCCCCGTCTCCCTGCCGCCCGTCCCAGCAGGGCGGTAGCGCCCCCGCCCCACGCTGCAACTTCAACCACACATCTCGCTCCCCGCACACTCACAGATCCCATTCCTCCTACTTCCGGAAAGCACGGGGCTCTCGGCGCCTGCGCAGTAACGGAAGGTAGCCGCCCTTCCGGCGTTAAAACGCAAAATCATCGATAATAGGAGAGAGAGAGGGGCAAGACGAGTTTCACCATAGAGTTGACATCGATAAAATGTATGCGTGTGTGTAATTTTATTGGTTTTTAAAAACATAAACAAAACATAAAAACATCAAGCTGTCTTCCATAGGTGTACATACAGTGTGCCGGTTGGTTTACAAATTGTTTTGTGCTTCCATAAAACTTTTGAGGCTTTATAAGCCAATGCCTTGGAGCTGATAAAGAGGTTGAAGCCTGATTAGGCGTGAGTCTTCCCAATCAGGACAATCTTCCCAATCTAACCTGCAGTTACCCCTTGGGTGCATTTCCCAATACAGTACTTGCTTACCCTGTGGGAAGTTATGATGCGGAACGCACTGAATTTATTTGCGGGGTACGAAGGAGTTTATGAAAGGAACACCACCACCACTCAAGCCTTGCATAGGGATGTGAAGCAATAGACGCCATATTTGTTAAGGGATTCAGGACCGACCTTGCAAAGGCCTTGTCTGCAGTAGGGCAGAGTGTAGCGGTTTTCTCCCGCGAATTTAAATGCTGCAGGGTAATTGTGAAGCAAACAGAGTTTGTTGCATAAAAAAATAACTGAAATCACGTCTGATGCCCAGCTCTTGTATGGAGTGATAGCACTGGAGCCTGACTTTTAGAGGTTTCTATTATAGTTCCCAGAATTCATGACCATTTGCTATGTTGTCCAAAACAACTAAAGATGAGCAAGGGAAGTAGAGAAGCCTTTTCTCACCACTTAACAAAATAACAGTGTTGGAAGAAAGTCTACTAGTCCAGTGGTCACCAACCAGTTGGCAGGGGACCACTGGTGGTCCGCAAAATTTTTTTGGTTGTCTGCAGAGAAATGTCACCCCCAAAGCAATTAATCCAGGCTGCGCGGGAACACAAGGTTACACCGCTCACATGGCCCGTGGGAACACAAGGCTTGCGTCGCTTGCATTGCGAACATGAGGTAGTATGGGGAAGGGCGGAGGCGGGAACTTGCCCTAATCGCCCCACATGCCTCGCCTGACCACTGGGCTGCTTCTTTCTTCTTCTGCTTTTGGCTGCATGCAAGGAAAGCAGCAAAAGTCTTTCTTTCTCTCCCCCAAACTCCACCAGAAATGAGTCTTTAGGACCCTGCAAGGCATCCTGCTCCAAGAGGCTGTGCCGACTCATTTCTGGTGGAGTTTGGGGTAGAGAAAGAAAGACTTCTGTGGCTTCTGCTGTTTTCCTTGCATTAAAGCTAAGTCTCTATCTCTCTCCCCCTGAGAACAGAGCTGGAGACGGTATTCTGCGATCCCAAATAAAGAATCATCGATCGATAGAAAAACAGGATGGGGAATTTTCCTGCAGACTTTTTGGGGGATTTTCCCAGGGTCTCTGGTCTGCGGGATTTAAAATTATGAATTTGGTGGTCCCTGAGGTCCAAAAGGTTGGCGACCCCTGTTCTAGTCCAACCCCTAGCTCAGGCAGGAAATCCTACATCATTTCAACAAATGTTTGTCCAATCTCTTCCTAAAAAACTTCCTACAGTGCAGCTGTATTTGATCTGCAATTCTCTATTCTTTGGAGCATTTTAACCACAGTAGGCCTACAGTACTACCTTCTCAGTATTTGAAATACTCTTTGGGTCTACAAATTCCATTCCCAGCTATTGCTTTGGTTGACTGTTCAACCCTGAGTCAAGAATACCAAGAGACCAATATTCATACAGTTTTCACAACATATTCATAAAGATAAAATACTCCCCCCCAAATCCTTTCAAACTAGACTTTTTAAAAAAAGCTCAATTGACTTTCCTCCAAGTGCAAGAGAACTACTGAATGTGCTAATGTATAAATTTATGTATAAAATTCAGATTTGGGGGGGAAATCCATGCTTGTAACAAAATTTTACCTGCACAAAAATCTTTTTTGTAAAAAAAAAAAACAGCTATGACTAAGCCAAAGTTTTTTAATCATAGTTGAATGAACATCATATTCATCCATAAATGATGAAAGTTTCTATGTTAAATATGCAAACTAACTAATCAACAATTTTGTGCTTTTGCACTGTTTCTCAATCTTAGCAACTTCAAGATGATTGAACTTCAACTCCCAGAATTCCGAGTTGTTCACTTAGAAGTTGCAAAGATTGAGAAATATTACATAGTGTGAATCCAGCTTGAGGAGTCTAAAATGAGCTTTCCCCACCCTGATGCCCTCCAAGGGCTTTTGATTTCAATCCCCATAATTTCCTGTTAGCATGACAGCAGCCAAACTGGCTAAGAAATTATAAGCACGAAGCTCAATGTACTGTATCTGGAAATCTTCAGGGTGAGCAGGACTGCTTTAAATACTGCTGACTATGGCAAACTGCTGTGCCTTCCTGAGCTATTCCTCCCCAAAATCTAGGTGAATTCAGACAATTGACGAAGAAACCACTGCAGCCCTTAATTTCTAGATTTCTGTAAGAA